GAAGGAAGGAAGGAAGGAAGGAAGGAAGGAAGGAAGGAAGGAAGGAAAGAGTACTGGTCCTGTTTCTCAACTTGTTAAGCTCAGCCTTTTATACTTGCATTAGTGGAGGAAGGGAAGAGGAGAATAAGGAGTTCTCAATTTCCTAAGAGAGACTCCAAGAAAACATGGCAGTATCACCACTAAATAAGAGAAGTTCAAGACATTCTATCTTCCTTTTAATGTCAAGCCCCCATTGTTTCCCTTTTTCTTAATATTCTGCTCATGATTTAAATTCCCATATCATTTCTTCTCACTCTTTATAAAATAATTATACATATTAAAAGAAAGTATCTTTTTAAAGCCAAGGTTTAAAATACATATTACATCATAATTTCATGATAAATGTTAGGATCTACCGTACTCCCAAATGTCTGCACGAGTGATGGGATTCAATTTTTTTTACTACCGGTTCTGTGGGTGTGGCTTGGTGGGCATGGCAGGGGAAGGATACTGTAAAATATCCAGTGCCACCCCACTCCTGGGGGAAGGTTACTGCAAAATCCCCACCTCACTAACCTGCTTTCCAGCTCTGTTCTCCTGTGCAGGGCAACAAAAGAAGACCCAGCCAATCAGCAGGGACTCGGGAGGCAGAGAATAGATGGGGGCAGGGCCAGTCAGAGGTGGTATTTGCCGGTTCTCCGAACTACCCAAAATTTCCGCTTCCAGTTCTTCAGAACTGGTCAGAACCTGCTGAATACCACCTCTGGTCCCCACCTTTTCATTGTAGTCACTCACCTTCTATGGTGGAGATGGTTCCTTCTGCACAAGGATGACAGTCATAGCAGCAGATGTGATTCCCTTCTTGAACTACCTTCATGAATCCAGGACAACAACTTTCCACACATTTGGAAGGAGGCAAAGGCTGAGGAGAGAGTGGGAAAATGTTCAGAAAATTAATTTATTTTCAGAAAAATGGCAAAGGAAGAAAGTGTTGGTGATCACAAGTTCAAGATTTATCTTTGACCCCATTAGAAGCCAATAAGAAATGCGAAACCCATCAAATGGATTCAACTACATATTCCTTCTCTGATTCTCTTCCATTCTGATGTTTCATATGCAATGCAAATTTACACTTTCATTTTAAATTTAGATATTGAATTTATCAGGAAAATGTTGGATGAGCTCTTTTCTTTGGCTAAGTAAACCATATAACTTGCATTTCTGGCACAATCTATTCCCCTTTCCATAAAACCATTAAATTGTTTGTATGAAAATTGAGAAATATATGTTATTAAATATGTTTCACAGTGATTATAATATATATATTATATATGTGTGTGTGTGTGTGTGCGCGTGTGTGTGTATGTATGTATATGTGTATATATGTATATATGTATATATATATATATGGCATTCAGCTTTGTTCGGGTATTTTCCCACATCATTGTAGTTGTGCTTTTAAAGTTGTAACAACATTTCGGCAGAATCTCATCTGCCATCATCAGGCTTCTGTATAGTGTTCATCTTTGTATAGTGTATAGTGCTACAACTTTAAAAGCACAACTACAATGATGTGGGGAAATACCCGAACAAAGCTGAATGCCATACATGTAAGTACCCGCGAAAACTTAAGAAAATATATATATATATATGTTGTGACTCCGGGTTTGGAATCTGCTCCTTTGGCAGATGGGAGTTCGAGTGAAGAAGATATGGCAGCTGGCTTTGCTAAGTGACTTGGATGTTAGCCAGGATGAGGAAATGGATTTAACAAGGAGAGATGAACCTGAGTTAGTGGAGATGTCAGGACCTTCGACCTTCTCTAATTCTTCCTCTGAGCAACAGCCGGGAATAACTAACAAGGAAAACATGCGAGAGTTTTCCAGCGAAGAAGAGAACTTTGAAAGATCATGGCTCGACGTAAGAAATAGACGTAGGTTAAGACATCAAACTCAGTTAGGAAGGAGGCGTCGAGCCAGTGACTAATTAGGGAAATTAACACACTCCATAAGAGGATAAAAGGAAACGGCTGGGCTGGTGAAATTCGCCAGAAGCAAAGTGATTAATGGGAGCGAAAACATGACGAGAACTCTTGAGACTTTGAGAATTTATTGCCACGTCATGATTGCTGGACAGAGTGTGGATTTACTATTGAGGATTGGAATACCTCAATAGTTCTCTTGTGGGGGTTTGTTTTTTGGTTTGTGATATTTTTGGAACTGCTGAATTTCGTTTTGCTCACCTGTAACTAAAGGGGAGACATAACATTTTTGCTTCTGGCCATACAAACCATCTTCAAACCAAGATGGATCAAACCCAACTGCAGCGTTTGGTGGAGCAGCAACAGCAACAGATAAATCAACTGATACAGAGTAACCAGATACTCCAAAATCAGGTGACACAATTAGTGAACCATGTTTCAAGCTTGCAAAGTCCTGCTGCTGCTCCTTCAGCCCCTCCCTTGAGGAAAAGCCCGGTATCCATGCCGGAGAAATTTTCAGGGCAAACAGACATGTTCCCGGCATTTATGGGGCAGTGCCAATTATTTATAACCTTGAGGCCTGAGGACTTTCCAAATGACCGGGCTAAGGTAGGATTTATGATTAGCCTTTTATCTGGGCAGGCTGCCAAATGGGCTACTCCCTTGTTAATTCAAGATAGCCCTTTGTTGGATAATTTTCAAGGTTTTCTTCAGCAAATGAGGGTTATGTTTGAAAACCCAATTAAAACTCAGACTGTGGCTAGACGGTTATGGGACATTTATCAGGGGAAACGTCCCCTGCAGGAATACATTGCAGAATTTCGTTTACTTTGTATGGACTCTAACTGGAACGAACCAGCCCACATGGATGCATTTCAGGAGGGCTTGGCTGATACCATCAAGGATGAGTTAGTACATGCAGAGTGGGCTTCAACTCTGGATGCACTAGTGATACAGTGCTTACGTATTGAAGCCCGTTTACAACAGCGAGGAAGCAGACGGCCCGTTGTGGAACCACATTCTCGTTCTCGTTTACAAACCACACCATCGAAAGTTTTTCAAACCACGGTTAAGACGGAGGAGCCGATGGAGTTGGGAGCACTCTGCCCTTGCTAAATGGCGCGAGAACGTTCAAGAAGGTTTCAGGAAGGCTTGTGCCTTTATTGCGGGGGTCAGGGACATTTTGCTAATTCCTGCCAATGGAGAGGGACTCGCAGACCCATGCTTCAAACCACTCCTGAACTGTCGGGAAACGGGGTAGGCCTGACCTCGGGGAAACCCTAGGTCGGGCACGTTCTACACCCCAACCCCAAATTGCTGAAGTGAATCCTGTCCCTCCTCGGCATTTACTTTTGGACACTCGAATCTTTTTACAGTCCCAGAAGGAGGGAATCCCTGCAGTGGCGTTGGTGGACTCAGGGGCTACAACCAGTTTTATGGACAGGGCTTTTGCTACGCACTTTGGGATCCCATTGGTTGCTGTAGATCCACCCATTAAGGTGGAAACAGTGGATGAGCATGAGCTCAAGTCTGGGTCCATTCGTTTCGCCACCCAACCAGTGCGCATGGTTATTGGGGATCATGAGGAAACGATAAACTTCTACATCACTTCGGACCTTCATCTTCCCTTGGTACTCGGTGTGTCCTGGTTGCGTTTGCATGATCCGTTGGTGGCTTGGGTGCAGAACGCCATTTCCTTTCCAAGTCTCCAATGTGTGGATCATTTGCAACATATCTGCGCTGGTCAGGATATCGCCGCTTCCGCTGTTCCCATACCTTCGGAGCTATCGGATTTCTCCGACGTATTCAGCGAGAAGGAGGCGGACCATTTACCACCGCATCGTGCTTATGATTGTCCCATGGACCTGATACCGGATGCTCCACTGCCCAAGGGTCAGTTATACTCCATGTCGGAGCCCGAGTTGGTTGCACTTCGAGAGTTTTTAGATAAAAATTTGGCTCGGGGATTTATTCGCCCATCGCCGTCCCCTCTTTCGGCTCCCATTCTTTTTGTTAAAAAGAAGTTGGGAGAGCTCCGTTTATGTTGTGATTACCGCCGGTTGAACGCCATCACAGTGAGGAATAGTTACCTTTGCTGCTCATTCTGGAATTGATGGAGCGGTTGCGGGAGGCTACTATCTTCACTAAACTCGATCTGCGTGGGGCCTACAACCTGGTTCGGATGTGCAAGGGGGACGAGTGGAAGACGGCATTTGGTACTCGTTATGGCCATTTCTAGTACACCATCATGCCATTTGGTCTGACCAACGCTCCCGCGGTATTCCAGCTTTGATGAACGACATTTTTTGGGACATGCTAAATAGGTTTGTTGTGGTGTATCTGGGTGACATTTTGATATACTCTCGGTCCAGGGATCACCACCTTCATCAGGTCCATCAAGTGCTTCAGCGTCTTCGTGAGCATAAACTCTATGCGAAACTGGAGAAGTGTTTCTTTTTTCAGTCGTCAATAGAGTTTTTATTATCTCTCCTGAGAGAGATTATATATATATAATTAAGTTTTTGTGGGTATCTCCACAGCACAAGCCAAGCAAACACCTGGGCACAAAGAGACCCCCCCCCAATACCTCCAGCTCAAACACACCCCAACCAGGCATGCAGATGAAACCTAGCTTCCTAATAAATGATAGCCATCCGTTTACTCGGAGCGAAGCAGCACTAAAAGCCTCCAATACAGGAAATACAATGTTGCCAGTCAATCAAGACAAAAAACACTACAAAACAGACAGAAGATATTAGAAACACCAATCAAGCAGAACACAGCAAACTCCAAGACCAATAAACACAGACCAAGACTCCCAACCAATCAGGATGAAGAAAAAACCATTCTGGCACAGCAGTAGGCTAGCCCCAAATTTAAAACAGAAATGGCTGTGAAAGTCTGACTCACAGACGAACACTATACAGAAGCCTGATGATGGCAGATGAGATTCTGCCGAAACGTTGCTACAACTTTAAAAGCACAACTA